TCTACATAACGACCAACGCAATATACCAAGCACAGCGCAAATTAGTGTAGTTTCAAATAAAGAAATAAAGAAGCCACAGCACGTTGAAAAGAACCGAAGGCCCAGAAATGCTAGAAGTTTTGATAGAGCTGGTATTGCATGACTCCTAGTTGAGGGTTCCAAGTCGTCTTTTGTTTCCTGAAGCAAATTAAAAATAACATGGCTTGGCAAACAATGATTTTGTGTTCTTCTTGCATTCCAAATAAATTACGTGTGGAAATAAATCTTCTCCCTTCTACCACGCGCTCTCTGTTCTCTACTGTGCCTCCTCTAGCAACAAATTACAGCCATTTCAAGTGCAAAATAGTTTAAGACGTGCTTTTTTGGGGTTTTAAATAATGGCGCAAATGCCAGTAATTTGACGAGCGCAAACGTTAGTAAAATGCGTTGCGTGATTCATTTTAATACTCTCCTCCCATAAATTTTGCGTCTGAAAGGGAAACTCCTAGAAATGCATATTCAATAATGTCAGGTGCAAAAATAACTGTCCACACCTTTTCAGCGCTAATTCTTCACTGCGCATCTTTAGTAAAACCTGACAGTACTATTTTAATGCCAAAAGACGGTTTGCGCTGGCGCAAGCTGTTAGTAAAACTGGCCCTTAGTGTTTACATGCAAACATGAACGGTACAGGAGAAACGACTCTAAGAATCCCAACATTTTCAACATACACAAAAGTCTGGACTTACCCATCACCAGCAGAGCACAGACTTTCACTGAGTAGTGCAAGTATGGGAACTGGGACGCACACAGTCAGTCTTAAACTACAGTAATCACACAGGACTCTCTACCCACAATTGGCCGAGCTGCTTCTGTAGGCCTCAGAGCCTCTTCCTCCTCCTCCTCCTCTTCCTCAGGGGTCTGGGGCGGGGCCAGGTCAGGACACTGCCCAATCTCTGCGTTCTCAAACGCCACGGGCTGAGAGAAATCCACGGGCCTGTTTCATTGACAGACACAACACACAGCCGCTCTTGAGGGAACAATGACACAACGTGACTCCAATCAGGTGAATAATGAACACGCTTATGAGCAAGGACAGACTCATTTAAATCAGTCTGGTAGAGGGCAATGGGGTTCGCTCTAGTGGAAAAGACGCACAGCCCACTGGCAGAGATTCATACTCCTCATTAGAGCAAGAAAAACTCTGATTATTAATGTCATACAGCGTTTAGCTTATGACTGCACCTCAAAAGGAAACAAGGAAGGAAGGAAAACAAGACCTTTAATCTACAGCCACGGGAGGCTGGAAAAAATGGGTCAATGTTTACAACAGTCACTGGTGTGTACAATTCAGTCATGACATATTGCAGTGAATTGTGCTCTGGAGGTTGGCGCATTTATCTTGGCCTGGTAAAGGTGACCTCGAAAAGCTTACTAACATCTCTGCCTTGCTATTATCTGTACAACAGAAAGCTGTGACGTGCCAACATTACTGTTAAGTCTGGTGCTAAGACAGAACAAAAAGACTAGTTTTAAGGTTCTCATCACAACCAAAAAGTGGAATTGAAGCAGTCAGTCAAGTTTACATTATTTAATAAAGTGATTTCCACTTTAATTAAAAAATATACTGTATAACAAACACGATTAATGTAACTTTAAAAAAAAAAAAAAGCTTTTGTTATAGCTTTTGGAGCAAGGGCGCCGCCATCTTGTGTGACGTCACGGGGTTGGTTCGCTCTGTTGGCCTGTAAAGTAATAAGCATTTTTTTACTTTTTGAACACACGCTTGTTTAAATGGAGGAAGACAAACTTGAAAGGACTGTTGAGGCCATAATAAGCGCAAACGCTCATGCATTTGAGCCGATATGGCGAGGGGACCGAGCAGTACTGCCGTTACGGGTATGGTTGGGAATCGTTTGGGGTTTTTTCGATACCGGTGCCAAATCGATACTTTTAAAATGGTTCCAGTGCCTGAACGGTGCCTGAACCAGTACTTATTAAAAACAAAAATAATAAATAAATAAAAATTCCCCAAAAGATGGATTGGCCATTAGCACTATAAACACGTCTGTTTCATTCATACTGGACGCCAGAGGGCGCCCTCGCACAGAAAATCCACACATCCAGTCACAGAAGTAGCAGAACTCATGACCCTCCAGGAAATCCCTTATATGGACAAAGGCATGGATATTATAGCTGTAACTAACTAAACAGAACATATAAACGTGTTGAATGATAAAACAAAGACAATAAACACTCGACTGCGACAATATAGTTTATCTGTGTTATTCAAGCCATCTCTGGTATTTTCATAATAATTAAGTA